GTATGTCATCCCATAATACAATATTGTTATTAATATTATAAATAGATAGATAGAATCATTATAGTATATATATATATAAATTGCACTTACTGTAATATGCAGGAGACCAATCTTCACTTCAGAGGAGCTAGGGTTTTTCTTGCAGTTATGGCGGATTTGCTAGACAATGGATTGAAGGATGCTGAAAATGTGCCTCCTCTCCTCTCTTTCCCCTTTTTGAATCTTCCAGAAAAACAATTTTTTTTTTCATTCTCTTTTTGCAGTAATGAATTTGTGTCTCACAAGATTTGTTTTCTCAGCTGAACAAATTTTATTATTATTTATATATTTTGAGATTTTTTGGTGTGTGATATGGAACAAGGGGTTAGCTAATTAATGAAATCCTTCTACTAATGATGTTTAGGCCATATTGTCTGGATGTTCAGCAGGGGGACTTGCTTCCATCCTTCATTGTGACAGCTTTAGTGCTCTCCTCCCAATGGGTGCCAAAACCAAATGCTTAGCAGATGCAGGTTATTTTATTAAGGAGTAAGATGACTATTTTTTATTTCTAAAAACAGTTAAAATCCATTTGATACACAGAATTGGATTTGAATTGGGAGTTGAAATTCTATAGAATTGATTTGGATGAAATTGAGTTCACCAATTTCTATTCATTTTTGGCCCTGTCAATTCCAAATCCACATATTTTTGTGCTACCAAACAGCAAAATTGGAATTATTGTCTCTAATTTCATAGTTTGAATTCCGTGTACTAAACAGAGCCTTAGATGTTTTACTCCACTTGTCCATACATTATACTCTTTGTCCCAAAATAAAAGTCCAAATTTCGCAAGATCAAACTATATATATTTTTATATATATTTTCAACAATACTTCGATCAAATAATATAATCGTATCACCTTATATTTTGTATCACTTTTGATGTATTTTTTAAGTATATAAATTTTATTTTTTATATTTATATAAATCTTTAAATAAATTAAATTGAAAATTTATTTAGTCAACCTTTGTAAATTCCCCTTTTCGTCCATGCATGTATTGTCACTCATTTTCCATGTCAGAAAAAGCAATATGTGGTTCATTTGTTTCTCTTCTAAAGAAGGTGTGGACTCCTTGTAACAGAACGGATATTTCTCATGCACCACACATTGAGCAGTTCTTCAGTGACATTGTTACAACACATGTATGTGTGCTTCTTCTTCTTCTTCTTCTTCATCTTATTCTTTACTATTTTTTCTTTCATTCATTAATGATTGGCTCACAATAACAAGAATAATCCTTTAAAGTCCATTCATGAGTTCAGGGATCAGCCAGGAACTTGCCTCAATCATGCACTTTGAGGTTAGATGATCCAAGTCTGGTAAGAGCATTCATTGTCTGCCTCTCTGCAATGCAAGCGTTTTTGCATCTCACACCAAACACAGCTTACCGACGTTGTTGGCATGTTGCAGTGTTTTTTCCCTCAAAATGTGGTGCAACATGTTCGGACTCCTCTGTTCATAATAAACGCAGCATATGATTCCTGGCAGGTCATATCATTTACATAATTCATGAAAACTCTGCTTAATGACAACCAAACATTTCTAAGCGGAAAATTGCAGAAAATTTGAGTTCTAACAAATCCTACTTGTTTCCTGGCATGGATTTTGTGAACTTCCAGATAAGAAATATTCTGGCTCCTGCGACTGCTGATCCGCGTGGTACATGGCGCGACTGTAAGATAGACATATTAAATTGTACATCCAGTCAGCTTCGTATAATGCAAGGTAAAGCTAATTTTGCATGCAGTTTGTCACAAACTTAATAGATTGAAGTCAAACGATTTACATTAGTTAAGCTAACAAATAAATTTAAAAAGCATACTCGAGATTCATGACAGCGGCACCTTGCCGAAATTGATAAAATTGTACATTATACCCCCCCCCCCCCAGGTTATAGAGAGCAGTTCTTAAGGGCATTAGCAAGTGGACTAGGACATTCTTCATCAAGAGGATACTTTATCAACTCATGCTATGCACACTGTCAAACAGAAGTACAAGAAACGTGGTACAGAAGCGACTCTCCAAGATTGGCAAACAAGGTAAGTAAAATAGAAAGAAAAAACTAACCAGTCATGTTTGATCTTCTGCTTTGATTCTTCAATGATTAGCAGATTCTGCATTTGCACTGATGATGACTCTTCACTGAAAACCTGTTATGGTGCAGACAATTGCAAAAGCAGTTGGTGACTGGTTTTTTGACAGGGAGGAATTTAAGAAGATTGATTGCCCATATCCTTGCGATAGAACTTGCCATAACCGTGTTTTTGACACTGCAAGCTTCCATTAGTATAACTAGCTGCATATAGTTTAATGGGCATTCTGGAAGAAGCATTCTTTATAAGATATTTTTTTGTTCTCAAAGGAAGAATAAAGGATACATGATTTGTTTGTTGTCAAGTGTATTCATTCAGAATAAAGGAAAATGTGAGTATAGTATACACATGTATAGTTACTGCTTGTATTACATTACTTGAGAAGAAGTGAAGAACATCGTTTCATTTCAATCAATAAAACCAAATCTTAAAAAAAATGAAAAATCCAAAGTGCATGAAATAAATTCCTTCAATTGCCTGCGAACACCTTCTCAAAGTCAAATTGCTATATCAGTGCTCTGCAATACTGAGAGATTAAAAAATGTCCTCCAAAGTCTGCTAAAATTCAATGTCAAATAACAGAAACTAAATTCAATTCAAGTTTGGACTTCCCAAACATCTTCCTTAGCCAAGTCAAACTCATGCATCCACAATTCTTTCCAAAGAAGCTACACCATGAATTGGAGAATGCCAAAGGTTTTGTAAACCTTCCTCGCTGCATGTCATTTCTGGGAATCACAACATGCAGGAAAGTCACAGTGGCAAGGTCCTTCCCTGACCTGCATCTCGAGGAAAAAAGAATGTCCTTGTTAGCCTTTAGGCCTTGTTTGGATCCCGGAAAATACTAGGGAAAGAAATTATTATGGAAAACATATCGGAAAATTAGAAGAAAGTGTGGTACACTATTGCTACACGTTTTTTTCATTTATTTGTATTATAATGTGACTAATGAATCTAAATAAATGTATAAAAACTTTAAAAATAATTATATTCAATTTTCCTTAGTATTATGAAAGAAAACCGCAAACATTATAAAATAACATTCATTAGAGCTTGTTTTTCCTATTGAGACTTGAGAGCCCTTTGCCGGATCCAAAAGGTCCATTAATATTACACAAGATGCTCCTTGTACAGCTGTACTTCTAACTTGACAATGGGAGAAATAAAACTGGAAACTCAATGATATCCAGAGAGAACAATTCGGGAAAGGCAACAATTATGTCAAGCATGCATACTTCTGAGTTTGAAATAAAAGAATTCAATACCATCTGATCATAAATATACCTTGCGCAGTGTAAATGATACTCTCCTTGATGCCCGTCTTATTGTGTTGTCTTTCACTATGTCAACCTTCCACAAAGACATTAGAGTACACAGGTCAACATGATAAGAAAGGGAAAGAGTATCTATTCTTTGTCTACAAGGGAAAGTTTGAAAATGGCAAAAATCCTATGATGAAAACTACTCCCGCTGTCAGGATTCAGTTGACTACATTTCATATTCAATAAAGAAATAATGCTGATTTGTCTAAAATATCTACACACAGGCTATGAGCACTGTTGACATGAACAATTAAAACTCATTTGAAGGACTTATTTGTAATTCTAAACTTTTTTCTTAAAAAAGAGATTTTTAAGTTAGTGGACAACTAACTCCGGACATAGGGAGTATTTACATGCAAGGAAGCCAAGGATGACATCTGACTTTTTGAAGCATCTCATAAGGTATGTTTTCCATGTCGGAAACAACTATATTCCTCAGGATAGAGGTAAGGTTGCATATATTTCTACAGACCTTCCCCTACACCCACCACACCCGAGTGGAATATAATGGGTTGCCAGGTTGGTTTGGTTTCATAGGGTATGTTTGGGAGTGAAATAGAGGGAACGAGTTACTAAATACTTTGTTCAATGCTATGAGTCTACCATGGGACACAGCGAAAAAGAAAATATACTCTGGTTTGAATGGATTCATAGTAAATATCTCAAAGTTAGTATTGTTTGGGAGTGTCCTACTAGTAAATGTTCGCTACTATTGGAAAGCTTGCTATTATTGGAAAAAACTCCTACATATCAGAAATTCCTTCACAGATATGCCTAAGGGGGAGAGTTATGATACAAAGAAGGGTTACAAATGGTTGTTGGGAGACAGAATAACCCCTGATTGGGTTAAATTGGCGTGGAATAATTGATCTATACACAAACATCAATTTATGTAGCTGAAATGCACGAACATGCTTCTTACTAAGTGTAGATTTAGTAAGTATGTGGAGTTGGACCTGGAACGTAAGGCAAGGAACACGAAGATGTACAAGAATGAGAAGATTAATGTTGAGGAAATTCTCAAGTGAATTAAGCATCAAAGTAATACTTATATTAGATATAAAGGATATGTAGGATGGGAGTAATTTTTGAATCTTAGAGTTGATAGTTGTTGTATGGCTGTGTACTTTTGATGTATTCTTTTTTGGTGGGTTTTAATGAAATGTTGCACTTTACAACAACAAAAACAACCCAGTTGAAGAATCCCACAAAGTATGGTCTGGGGAGAGTGTTTACGCAGATCTTGCCCCTACCAGAAAGTAGAGAGGCTGTTTTCATGAGACCCACGGCTCAAGCTGCACATAAAAAAGGGTCACAATAGATACATAAAGCAAGGAAAGCACAGATTCAATGCAAATAAAGCACCGAGCACACAACATTAAAACTAAATTAAATAAAGTTACAAAACAAGAGTATTGCAAACAAATAGCAAATCGCACCAAGCATCAAAGGCCTATAAGGCACACAATAACAACACCCCCTAGCTCAAGGCATACACAGCTACTCTAATCCTACCTCTCCAAATGCTCCTATGTAAGGCCATATCCTCAGTAAGGGCAAGAAATCCTAAGTCCTATCTAATCACCTCCTTCCAAATTAAAATCAAACCATGAAAAGGCGGATGTGGAAAGTGAAAATTCTAAGCAGTGTGGAACATAGTCGTGTGAATTTGTTACTATGAATATGCAACACTATCAAAGTTTGAAGGAAGATTACCTTGTGGTGTGGAATATAATGATGCCAAGCATAGCGTGCCTCCCCAGATAGTAGTAACATTGACCGCGGGGGGAGATAAATAGCTCTCCTTAAAAAATTAGAGGATGTCTTGTTACAGTCTTGCACCTCTCCATCAGATACACCTTCATAGCTTTTCAACCAATTACCTGTTGGATACTTTCTGAACTCCATTACACAAGGCCCTGCTAATGAAAGACTGAAAATCATTCCCTCAAATGCAGAATGTGTATCTATATGTGGAGACAAACCCACACCAGGTGGGTATTCGTTAACCTGATACAATTCACATAAAACCATTATTACGGAGTATTAATGTTGAATCCATGAAGGAAGTGTCAATCAAACCTAGTATGTAGTACTTCAACTCTTCAAGTATACCCTGTGTAAGTAATTATGCAATTTTGTTTTTGATAAAATATGAAATTCCATTAATATAAATTTAGCTATCGGTTATACAAAAAAACACCCGGTTCTCCACAGTAAATTTTGTGGTAATTAAGAGATAAATTAACCGATTTATTACAAAAACAATATTATATGTGGACAATGTGTTATATGATGAGGTGATAGATTGTTAGATAAAATATGATTATAAGATGGTAGTATTATTAATTATGGTGTAATTAAAAAATAACTTACCGTTAACTGGTCCAAGACAGCACTTCCGGTATAACCCAGCTTTTGAAAGGAGGATATTCTTTCAAGTATTGGAGAAACAAATCGTGGAAGTTCACCCAAGTATTGGCTTGTGTTAACATTTCTTATCTGACATGAAATCGACAACAGATGTTTTCTTCGGATTTCTACATTTAGCAATCATTTGGATAAACACTTCTAGAACGAAAAAGAAGTGTACTATATCCAATTGGAAAAGGTCACAATAGGGTTACCACCAATTCACTCATGTTGGAACTTACATCATAACGAAACTCATAACCATAATGTTGAACTCTTCTTTTCGCGAGATTCTGCCAAGGTCTGCTATCTATAGCTGCGAGGAGTTCCTAAAAGTTCAAGTGAAATTACATATAAAATAAATCAAAAAAATTTAAGATAGTCCAAATAGATAAAGAGCAATGGGAAAAGAGAGGGGGGGGGGGGGGTAATGAATAATGATGTATGCAAGCAGAATCCATCATACTCTTTCATTTGAGGAAAGAAAGATCTTACCTGCTCTTCTGTAGCAGTAATGAATTCATGAATGAAATAAACACCAGGAATTTTCAACTCAGANATGGGAAAAGAGAGGGGGGGGGGGGGGTAATGAATAATGATGTATGCAAGCAGAATCCATCATACTCTTTCATTTGAGGAAAGAAAGATCTTACCTGCTCTTCTGTAGCAGTAATGAATTCATGAATGAAATAAACACCAGGAATTTTCAACTCAGAAGCTTCTAAAGACACAGAAAATGTGTCATTGACTTCAATCTGATCAGAAATTCAGGATCATTAAACCCCAATGAATCTCCGAGTGTAGTTGAAGTTCAAACAAGCTTGCATAAAATATTTAACTTCAGACCATTAGTTGGCTAAATTGGAGGTAAATACTGGAAGAAATCGTTTAGATATATATTCCCATACAACAACTAGAAGTGGGAAACTGAGAATCATGAATTAATCAACCAGGCAAAATCTTTCCTAATATGAATTGCCTTTTAAGGGGTCTGTGTGAAGTTCAGAAAAATGCTGGAGAAAATGATGAAAATAAAGGGGAAATTTGAAAGGAAATTATATTTGGGAAAAAAGGATTAAACAGAATAAATCAATTTAGATGATTAGATATTTGTTCTAACTCTATCTATTTATATTTCTAATGTAAACTGGACAACGAAAAAGATAGCATTTTCCTCATCATTTTTTCCTCATTCTCTGTCATTTTCTGCGTCCCAAACATAGCTTAGGGCATTACAGCCTCGGGGCTTCATAAGCATGAGCGTTGCTAGGGCTAACCTCCCAACTCCCAAGTTCGGAGAAAACCTTCTTTTATAGGTGATTTTTTTTACAATTTTTTTATGAGAGAACTATTTTTATTGTTCGCCCGGCCACACTAAATTCAAATTTTTGGGGGCCCTGACTGTTCATGAGCACATAGTACATAACATGAAATAGAGGAAATGAAATTCCACAATAGACACACACAAAAAAAAATGAATCAAATTTTGCACCTTAGAAACTGATTGTACAGAGTAGCGAATATGAAGAAAACGTCCTCCAAGTTGAGGGCATGAGTGTCCATCCAATGCTTCGAGTGCTGATTGTGCAGAACTCTCTTCATGATAAGATACGATGACACGAGTGCCACTTTCATCAGCTGGATAAACTCCCCTGACATCACCATATGTGCTAAACACTGACTCAATAGCATCCAATGAAAGCCCAATAGCTGGCCCGCAATTAGCCACATAAAGATTGGGACTTGATTCATTACAACCCCCCTTTGGACGCATAAATCTTGGTAACCCCATATATATGTTCATATGCCTATACAAGTAGAAATAATGCATCACTCAAGTGTCATAGCTTAAGTGGATATTGACTTGGCATCATGCCATGAAATAGGGTGCCAAGAGGTAACAAGTGAATGAGTTGGATAGGTATGACCAACTGCATGATTGTGGATGACGCTGTTTTTATAAATTAGATGTGCCCGAGTTTAAGTGCACCCATTAAATAAAATCTGCAATGGTCATAAGTATTTGATTTTCATTTTATTGGATGATATTCACTATCCATGGATGTGTACCTTTTTGTTACACCAATTGAGACCATGCCTATACACACATGCAGATGTGCCCACGCACACACACACACACACAGAGAGAGAGAGAGAGAGAGAGATTATGTGTTCAATCTATCAAGGGCAAGTGTGGGATGTTTTATGTCTGCATAAAGAGGGACAGGTCCTATTTGCTATTGCTCATTTGAGATCTTCATTTACCTCCTGACAGATCCTTACTTCGGTGTGTAGGAGTCGATGTATTTCATAATTAGGATATTCTCACAGCTCTCTTAACTCTCTATATACAACAGATCAGAACATTTCAAAATAGTAATCGCTATTATTAACTCTTAGCTTGATTTCATTGTTCTTGTAAACATGATAAACATCCAAACCCTAGCAGATTTTAGGTCCTAGATGCACAATTGAAGAGCAATATCAAGCTTGTAAAAATGGAGCTTTTTCAAATTCAAGCTTCCCGTTTTCATCCAATGAACTTCGGATTATCTGTCTGCCTTCCGATTACAGTGATAATAAATAACAAGCGTGTGGAATTACCAATGAATGAAAACATAGGGGGTGGCCAGAATCTTACTTGCAGAAGAAGCAAACGAATCCAATGATACGAGTGTAATTCAAGGCTGGAAGAAATTGAAAAAGAAGATGGATTGATTTGATGAGCGACGACGGGCGCTGGTTTTGAAATTTATTACTGACCGAGTAATATGGAATCCTTCATGTTACATGTTGGAGGGCAAAATAAATACGGAGTAAATAAATACTCCCTAGTGTTCAAATAAGTAAATACGGAGTAATTAAATACCCGGTGAATAAAGTTTTACTAGTATTTATAATCAAACATGATTCCTATAAAAAATACGGAAATGCTTAGTTCACAAACTCAAACTTTACAAACTTACCATTTGTGAACTTCAATAAAAAAAATTAAATAATCTAAAATAATTTTAAAATAAGAATTTAAACCATAAATAGTAAGTTTGTGAAGTTTGTGATCATTCTGTTTGTGAACGTAGCATTGTCCTAAAAAATATATACTCCCTTTGTCCTTTAAAAATCTTCTTATTTTGACTTTTAAAGGATTTAAAGAGAGTTCTGGTGTTAACTTTCCAAAAATTTTCTTTGATATGATGGATAAAATAGGTGAGATGTGTAGATTAATAAAGAAAAAGTGTAATGTGATAGGTAGATTAAGAATTAATATGGGTAAAAGTGACTTTTAAATAGGAAAAGAGAGGTGTTTTTTTGAACGGATGAAAAAAGAAAGGGGGAGAGTTTTGTGGTACGGATGGATTAAAAAATAGAAGAATAATTATGGTCTAATTTTATTCACCCATACTGATGGGGAAAGATGTAGTGAGATAGTGTCAAAGAACCAATTCAACCAAAAGCTCAAAACTTGTGATTATATGTCCAAGAATTTTTTTATAATCTAACATGCTCCCTCACGTGTAGGCGCGGTCACTTTAAGCCTTGCACGTGTACTTTATTTTTTTCTTCAAAATTGGGTGGCATTTAGATTTGAACATGTGACCTCTTATAAAACGTCACAAGTACCTCTGGTAAACAAAAAACACACAGGGTCCTTTGCCTCCACATTGCTTGCTCTTGAGGTATGTTTGGATTGACGGAAGTAAAGTTTTATTAGATAAGCAATGGTAGGAACTAGGTGGAGGGTTTATAAACAGAGCGCTAAAAGTGTCATAATTCAAACAATCTTGGCAATCGCTACTCAAAGTGAGTTGTCATAAAACTTAGTTCGAAATAACAATAGGCTCTATGTTATTTTCCTAATTCAGACCATCTCGTCTGTGCTCATGTTAGGATCTATTTTTAAAAATAACAATATTACCATTATACTAGAGTACTACGGAGTATTTTTCTTTCAAACAAAGTTTTTGATATTTTTCTGAGCGCAAGAATATACTCCTCTCGCCCCAAATTAATTTTACTATTACAGATTACGATAATTGGTTGAATTAATTTTCAATTTAATTTATTTAAAATAGGTGCTCTCTCCGTTCATCAAAACTCTTCATATTTAAATTTTACGTGTAAAATTTCATCTTTTTAAAATAATTTTACTTACAATTTAGTATAAAAATAAAAGATAAAACTTCTCACCCCAAATTAATTTTACTATTACTGATTGAATTAATTTTCAATTTAATTTATTTAAAATAGGTGCTCTCTCCGTTCAGCAAAACTCTTCATATTTAAATTTTACGTGTAAAATTTAATCTTTTTAAAATAATTTTACTTACAAATTAGTATAAAAATAAAAGATAAAACTTGCTTATTCAAGGGGAGTGGCGGTGTGTTCGGGTCAGGGCGGAGTGAGGGGAGTTTACCAAGGGGTTAGAGGGGGTAAGAACCTTCAATTTTACGAACAAGACTCCAGAGCGCACCCGGGTCATCCCATGACATTGTCGGGCAATGTCATGGGAACCGCCCCCTAATCTGAAATGGAAAGCTTATTTAGGAACGGAAGGCAGAGACGTAATAAACAATAAATAAACTATGGAACCAAACATAAGCACATAACTACATCACTCATCCCATGTCCCCCGTGTTGCTAAGCTGCCATAGTTTTAGTTGTTTACCACTCGTCAACTTTATTCACTTAATCGTGAATTTTCCTCATCAACTTTATTCACTTAATCGTGAATTC